ACATATATATATATATATATATATATATATATATATATATATATATATATATATATATATATATATATATGTAAAGTAATATAGTAATATAAAGTTTTAATGATAGTGATATAAATTAATAAAACTTTATGATATTATACAATAAGTAAAAAGTAAATAAATAGATATAAAAACTTATAATGATTATCATAAACTCACGTTCCAGTGATGCCAATGTTTCTTGGGCACCCTGCAGGTTGATGTCACACACACTGACCCTGGCACCATCGCGGGCGAGGATCTGGCACACTGCACGGCCTATGCCACTGCCTCCTCCTGTGGATGTGAAAGAGAAATGGAAAGGTTATTGATCGTTTACATTCTCTCTCTCTCTCTCTCTCTCTCTTTCTCTCTCTCTCTCTCTCTCTCTTATCCCCCCTCCCTCCCTTTATCTCTCACTGTCTCTGTCTCTGTCTCTCTCTTTCTTTCTCTCTCTCTCCAAACGTGAACGATACCATTTTCCAAAAGTTGGCTTTCCTGGCATCAGTGAGGAACGCCAATCAATACAACGAAATCATACAAAATGGAAGCAAAATCAAGACATGAAAACAAAGATAAATTATAAGATACCTAGGAAAAAAATATATAGGCCTATCGATACCCACCTGTAACCAGTGCTATCTTGCCGTTCAAATTGTTACCCGAAGCCATTATAAATAAATAAGAGGAAGGAGCTCTCCAAGTACAAGTTAACGAGGCAGATGCAAAGTCGACACAAAGGGAAGAAAGGGAAGAAATTTCTTATCTTTTATTTGATAGCTTCGAGTTGCCAGTTAACCAAATTACGGGGAAAAGTGTTCCTTTATTAATAATATTTCTTTACTTCGAAACAATGATGTTAGTTAATTATAGTATTTGGAGTGTTTGAGTTGAGTTCCATGGAGGATTATATGCGTTTATTGCAATATGAACTTAAGAAATAATTTAGCTGTGATGTTACTCAAGAATATTGAATTGATAAGATGCATTTCACTCGCACCACTGATTATAGACGGAAAAAATAATCTAATCTAAAGTGATTTTTTAATATCAAGGCAACATCAATTATATCATAAAATACGAAACACAAAAAACAGGAGAGGCTTTATCGCCCATGTAGATGTAAAAAGTAGTAGATATGAAACACATTTTGATTGTCAGTTATCATGTGACTATTTTAGACGTAACATGTAAGTTCATTTGTAATCGGTAAGAATATCAACACGATGTAGAGATAATAATAACATTGATATTCAATATCAAATAGGCCTATAACAACTACAACAGTGATAACAACAATATCAACAATAGATTAAATGGCCTCACAACCATTACGATAATAACACGTATCTCAAAAATACCACACATTTTCTTTACTATATACTATAAATAAATATACATAATCATTACTCTTTTTTCAACCAATATTCATTAGCAATACTCCCACTACGATAATTAGAAGAAATCTAACAAAACAAACAAACCATTGAAACGAAAGCAGAGCAAAATCGAGAAGAATCGATTCCTTCGTGTCATCTGAGGTAATTGAGTCCAGGTGAAAGAATGCATGCTTAGCCTCACTGTCAGGGTAGCCATGCAAATAACCGATTTGTTTATAGACTGGAATTTAATCAGATTCAGATCGCGGTAGGGAGGTGGTGGTGAGGGGGGGAGGGAGGGGGGGGGGGAGATGAGGGCAAAATGGTGATGCCGAATTTTAAAAGGTTAGGTGGTATTAGGTGGTGTTGTCGTCGCTGTGATAGTAAAATGCGTGTTTTTTTCAGTGTGATATTTTTATTATTATTGATATCATGTTGATATTACTGCTGTCATCATTTTCATTTTATCATCAGTAGTACCGTTATTATTAATTGCTATTATTATTGCTGCTGTTGTTTATGATCTATCATCGTCATCATCATCATCATCATCATCATTATCACCATTATTATTGTTATCATTAGCATGATTAAACACCATCATCTTCGTCATTGAGTAATCAGCTTAATAAGGATATAATTACTAATATACTAATACTAGTGATCCGTAAAGACAAGTATATGTTAAAGCTTACTGTACACTATTATATAACATCCACTGTATGTCAATTTTCGTATTAATCACTTACTTAAGGAGAGAGATCTGATTCATATATTTCAAGATTTAATTCTCTTAATACTCTCTGTCTCAATATGATTCATGCACAAAAAAATATATAACAGATTAGACATTGATAAGAGTTTAATTCATTGCGCCAGTGCAGTATATTAATCATGCGCTCATACTTAAATGTTCAGTATGTCAGTTCTTTCGTCAAACTGTCAATGAGGTGGAAATATGTTAAAAGATAAAAATATGTTAAGTATGATACACTGATAATAATAATGAAAGTAGCGTAATGATAGTGAAAATGGTGATAATGATAATGATAACGATAATAGTAACAACAATAATGATCGTGATAACTAATGATAATTGAAAT